TAATAGGCGAACTTGAGTTAATTAAGACGAATACTTCATCTGAGGGTTTAGGTTCTGACTTGCGCGGAGTTAAGGATTTACTTCTTAAACACGGTTTTACTGAACAAGAGTTAGCGTTGTTTGAAAAGCGTATTAACGAATTACGTGCAAAGGCAGATCAGATGATTAGAGACGGTCATCCTGAAGCAGCCAACATAAAAAAAGAGCTTCAGAAACTCATTAACAGGTTAAGCAGTCACCCTGCTTTTTTTATGCTATCTCGTTTCTGAAAAATCTTAGCATTTGACATTTTACTAATCTGAATTAAGGTTTAACGACATGAAGAGGCCTGCAGAGCTGCGTCACTCGGCTCTGGAAGAGAGTTTGAAATGGCATAAACTCTCATTCGATATCGATTGCGAATTGCAGTGGATATCAGAAAAAGAACCTATTGCAGCTTCAAAAGATTCTGGAAGGTCTCTGACTGAAGTCACAAATATTTTGAAAAAACACGACCAACTTGCTGTAAGTTTTCATTTTATTGAGCCATTTTTTTCAAATATCGATTCCTCCACAATATTTGTAAGCTTTTTTTAGACGGAAGTGAACTCGCATACCCCTATAATTGATGCAGCTTTGAAGAGGGGTAGAGACTTAATAAAGGAAAAACATTACGCAAAGAAAGAAATACAAGAGAAGTGCAAATTAGTAAGTGGCTTGGATGAAATTTTGTAGGTATAGGCATACAACACTGTAGCTTTGCCACCTATTTGTTTCATAAACTTTGATGTAATCTTAAAGCGTTCATTTAAAATTTTTATTAGTTGTCATCCGCATGGAATAACCTGGGTGATCTGTTACGCGAACGGAAGATTTTGTTGGATTGGGCACTGAAAGAAGAACGATATCTTTTTGATGCCCTAGAGGTTTAAAATTTTCATTCTTTCTAGTGCTTCAAAAGTATGGAGAACTGTTTGATCGTGATATTACCTTCTTCAGGTTGAGTCTTGGATGAACGAAAAAAGACCGTTGCTTTCATCTTTGGATTATGGACAAGATGAGGATGCTGCATTGAAGCTTCTGGCTAAACACAAAGCGCTACAGGCCGACATGGGAACGTACAGGTGGAGAATACGTTGTAATCAAAGTCTGCATAGATTTAGTTGTTTCTAGGTAAAGTTCGCTCGTTTAAACTTTCCAGAAAGTGGCTAGACAAGTTGGCCATAGAATGTGAGGAATTGAGGAATTCGACCCGTTCAAACAAAGAAAGATTTGAAACGCGGCAATCTGAACTGGAGGCAGAATTTGCGTCGTTAAGAAAGAGTGCAGAAGATCGGAGATATCAGTTGGAGAACGCTGCATTTTTGTATCAGTACATGAGAGAAAGTCAAGATCTTGAGCAATGGATAAATGAACAGCTGCAAGTTGCTATGAGCGAAGAGTACGGCCAAGATTATGAACATTTGATTGTAAGCTTTAATAAGTCTACAGCAAGTTTGAAGCGAATGACTTTTATTCGCTATTCATCTGTCAATAATGGCAGATAGTTTCAAAGCTCATTCTCCTGGAATAATATAGCTAAAACGGCAGGTCTTATTGATATTTTGATAAGAAGCTCGAGTAAGACGTGCTTAGATAGATCCTACTAGATAGATTTGGAAAGAGTTTGTAGCTGTTGTAAAGTTCTTCTACAGATTTGATACTTAGAGAAACTTATGAAGAGAGAGGTAAATACTGACCGAGTCTTATGTAGTCAGAAGCCTTTCAAGCTGAGTATCTGCAGTGAACTTTATAGTAAGCCTAAGTCGTCTACAAGTAAAGTGGCAACCTGAAACGAAAAAAGATAATTTGGGGTTGCGGCACTGATTAGGAATCTGAGCTTTTTTGAACTGTCTCATGAGGATTCTCTTCTTTCCTATCGTTTTTCAAGAAGTAACCAGTTTATGGAGCTAACCGAAAAGTATTTTTTTAGTGATTACTTGAGGTCCCAAAAATGTTTTTGATTATATTAATCAGACCATATCAGATGTGTGGTTTGAGCGAATTAGGCTAGTGGGATGGCAGTGCAGGAGTTCAGGTTTTACCCGCACTTTTTTGGGGCTTCTCTTTTGGCTTTATAAAGAGTTTTATGTACGCTCAAAAAAATTAAAATTTTTAGAGTGTAGAAGAGGAAATTTAAATTTAACTGGTTGTGTTAGCCAGAAAGTATGTTGTTTAGTGCCGAAAGGATTGACATTATGTACTTCTGTCAATGAAGCACAATTTAAAAATTATTAATTTTTCATAGTATGCCATTTTTTAGTAAGTATTGGGTTCTGGAATATATTTTTCTGGTAAAAAAGAACTCTTGACTTTAGGGAGGTCTGCGATTTTAATATGTCTAGCGTTACTTACGGAGCACTTTGTACGTAAAGTTTTATTGATCTAGGTCTTTGCTTTGGATCAGTAGATTGATTTCCTTCAAATATTATTCCTCTGTTTTGTGAACATCTTTCACAGGATTGACGTATTAGAAACTTGATTTTAGGAACTGAGGAAAAGGTTTGAAGAGTTCAAACAAAGTGTTAAAACAGGTAGTGAGCGATTTGTGCATTGCGAAACGACAGCGAATTCTCTGCTCAAGAGGAGCCCTCCATTTGCAAGGGATATTTTGAAGCGCCAAGAAAAATTGAGGTAAGAGAATTTTATTTTTGTTTTAAAAAAATTATATTTTTTTTTTCTGATTTCTTAGCAGTATCACCAATTAATTCTGGTTGTATTTTAGGTCTGTTTGGACGCTCTTGCTGGACTACATAGAGAGCAGAGACCAAAAGTTGGCTGCTGCCGAAGAATTACATCGGTTTAACAGAGATATCGCTGAAAGTCATGAACGTATTACTGAGAAACGAGCAGAGATTCCATCTGATTTGGGTAAAGATATAAAGCAAGTTCATTCTCTGTGGTTAAAGCATGAGGCGTTCGAAAATCAGCTTTCTGCCATGGAGGGACAACTTCAGGTAAGCCAGAAGTCAAACTATTTAGTAAATTGTCACGGTGCAGACGTGTGGCAGATAAGCAGATGGTAGTTCCAATTTCAGGAGTTAATGGAAGAAAGCGCAAGACTGAAGGCTGCTTATCCGGGCGGCAATGCAGAACACATAACAACTCAGCAAAATGCATTAGCCGAAGCATGGCAAGACTTGCAAGATGCTACAGTGGAAAGGCGTGATCTGCTCAAAGCGTCCTACGATTTACACCGGTTTAATGTCTATGTAATCTTACGATATTTGAATATGAAATTTTTTGTTATTCTCTGTTATGCTATCTTATTGTTCAGAATTTAACTCAATTAGTTTTTTAATAGGCTCGAGATTTGATTGCTTGGGCAGACGGAGTCATTTTGGACATCAATAGTGAGCAACCAATACGTGATCTGCAAGGTGCAGATTGGCTTCAAAAAGAACATTTGAGGCTTCAAGTGATTTTTCTGATTTATACAAGTTTCTAAAAGTCTTTTTTTTTCTGAGCGCAGTGAGGTGTTACATTTTTTCTAGCGTGCCTTGTCTCTTTGTGAAGTCTTATTCAGAAGAGATGTTTTTTTTTAACTCGATTTTACTCTACTGTACCGGTACTGACTTCTACAGCAACGTTCAGAAGGAAGTTTACTGCATAGAACAGTTTGAAGTGTTTCTTTTTTATAGGCTGAGATTGAAGCTAGAAAACCTAATTTTGCTCGATTAACTCAAAGCGGAGAGGCTATGATTGAAAAAGACCATTATGCTAGTGCTGAAATTCGGGAACGGATAAACCAGGTAGTTCTGCACTATCGTTCGGTAAAACTTATCATTTTTTACTTTTTCTTTTAATGTATTTGTTCTCAGGCAGCATGTAAATTGGATGAAGTTCAAAAGGCATGGCTGAAGAAGCGCGAGTATCTAGCTGAAGTGCAAAGATGGCACTCTTTCCAACGGGAAGCCAAGCAGATTCTTGCTGCTATTACTGCTAAAAAAAGCACTTTGCGACAAGCAGAGGTAGATGGTTTATACGTTAATTTGCCTTTAGCTGTCAGTCGTTTATGGCGATAATTATGTGTTAAGGTCGGAGGCTCAGTCGATATGGTAGAAGGCCAAATTAAAAAGCTTGACACGTTTCAAAAATCTCTTTCGACTTTGGACAGCCGCGTAGTAGCCCTGCAAAATACTGCTAAGCAGCTCACTGCAGCGAGAAATATGGAGTCTTCGAAAATACATCAGTTAATTAAAGAGGTGACTGTCAAAAACTCAGTTATTTGTGACACTCAATGGGGAAATGTTATTTGTTTAATAATTTATGTTATTTCGAACCTGAATTTTTAAAGCATTTCAGTGGTGGAGATGAAAGAGGAGATATTTCTGGTAAATGTTAGTTTATTTACTGGCGAGCCTAAAAAGCGGTCCATAGTTTTGTAGCTTTTAAAACAATCATTTGCAGGTTGAAGATGCCCTTTCTGGTTTGTATCACGATGTCGACAGGCGTCGAATATCTTTGGGTGATGCACTGAAGCTTGCACGTTTCAATAGTGATGCTACAGAAATGGAGGGTTGGATTGACGAAAAGAAGAAGCGGATCCAAATTGAGACGGAAAGACAGGCTAAATTAACAAGTATAGAAGACAAGATGAAACGTCTTCAGAAACATCAAGTGCGTAAATTTTTTTCACATATCGGTGCTGAGACAAAGTCTTTATTGAATTTCAATATATTTAGGCTCTTGAAGCTGAATTGGCAGCAAATGCACCGCGCATTGAGCAAATACGCAGAGATGCTAGAGAGTTATCTTCAAAATCTGCTCTTGATGCGCGAGATGTAATTGCACGGTCAGTTCCCCAGAAATTCACTCTTTTCATTATGTTTTTTATTGGAGTCGAGAATTACTTGCTTCTTGTGGCTGCTCGTATCTCGTTGCCAAGCAGTTTCACTTAAAGCTACTCTTGAAAATTGTGTTGGTTTTGGGTTTGCTTAATTATAATTCTTACAAACTGCTTAAAACATCGTTAAAAAAACAGCAATGGCTACAATGAAGTTAAGGTTACTAACGGTAGATACATTTAAATTTGTACGACTCGAAATGAACCATTCATCTGTTAAGCTCCCTCTGGGAAAGTCGTTAAATACTTTTACTGCTTTTTTTAAGGTCGGAAGCTGTTTTGAAAAAGTGGGGAGAGCTGGTTACAATGTCACAAGAGCAAAGTAATGCTCTCGAGGAAGCCAGGGATTTACTTAACTTTAACCAGCTGGTTGAGAAGATTCTTTCTTGGATTCGAGTAAAAAGGATTTCCTTTTTTGTCTATCTTTTCTCTTAAGTGAAATCACGAACTGGTCGGAATATAAACAAATAAAAATTTCACGACGTCTTTTAAGGAAAGAGAACTTTTGGTGAATGCTGGTGAGATGGGACGTGATCTGGAACACTGTCAAATGTTGATTGAAAAAGTGGGCGGAAGTAAAGCAGATGTTAGCGTCGACGATGCGACTGTGAAACAGGCTAATGCTCTTGGCGATAAACTGGTTTCGCAGGGTCGATCGTCAAAGAAAGCTGTTCAGCAACAACTTTTGGATCTGAATAATGCGTGAGATATAAAGATTTAGTTTGTGCGACAGCATTCCGAGCGAGTGCTTCAGGGTTACTGTACCGTAAGACAGGAATTATGACAAAATCTTGTTGCTCTATTTACTTTATAATTTTTCTGAATACTCTTCCATAGTTACTTAATCTCATTTTGTACTTAAATTAATCAAAGTTTCTTTAGCTGGAAAGCTTTGCAAGGGAAATTGAATGCATACCGCAATCAGCTGCAAGCTGCAATTGAAGTCCATTCTTTCAATCGTGATGTTGATGATACCTGTGAGCGTATACGCGAGAAAGCCGCATTACTTTCCACTGATGATTTGGGCAAAGATTTGGCTAGCGTGGAGGCATTGATAAGAAAACAAGAAGCAATTGAAAGAGATATGACTGTGATACAGGAGAAGCTGAAAGTAAGACGTTTTGGTGTAGTTTCCGGCAAGATAAAATATTTGATGTATAACAGCATTATTTGAACAGTGTGAAGGATTTTGTTGAACTTTTTTTGTTTTTAGGTCAGTTGGTGATGCACATTTGTCACCGTAATTTTTGGTAAAATTAAGTTGCGAAAGGAATGTTATCAAAAATTACTAAAATATCTGTTTTAACTGTGAAAAAAAAAAAGAATTTAAAGTGATAAAGTAGTTAACAAGAATGCTTACAAATTTCCATCTGTTTGAAGGTTCACGACACTATTGCACAACAGCTTCTAGCTAAAGAACCACCACTTAAAGATACCATGATAGATTCATTAAAGAAGTTGGAAGCTTCTTGGAAAGAACTTGCTCAAATGGCGGAAAGCAGGTTTCATCCTTAAGAAATTCTGACGCAGCTTCACTCGTTCTTGCTTTGTAATCTGGTATCTTCGCGTGTTTTTTTAAGTTTTCATCTCTGATAATATTTGATTTTAGAAGCGACGCTTTGGCAGCTGCTGGAGATTTGCAACGTTTTTACGATGCAGTGCGGAAGACTGAGAATTGGGTGACAGAAACTCACAGTCATCTCTCTGTGGATGAAGTGCCCAAATCTGTCGCGGAGGCAGATGCTTTACTAGCCAAACATAAGGAGAAACTTGCTGAGATTGATGGTAGACAGGTAGGAGGAGACGTGTTTTGTTGGAAATTGTGATGTTTTAGTAGCTTTATTGGATTTACATTTCCACTTTTAGAAGGAGATGCTCGAATTGCGAGAATGGGGTGACAAATTAATGAATGAACAGCCAAACCATAAAGGGGAAATTCAACGAACACTTCGACGCTTACAGAATGTTGAACACCAGCTTAGAGTAGCTGGGGACACTAAAGGTAGGGAGCTGACAAGGGCACGGAACTGGCAGCTGTTTTCAGAACGTGCTAATCGAGCTGAGCAGTGGCTTGCTTCGAAAGAACTCTTTCTTAAACAGGTTCAGAACCTTTTTTTTAAAATTTTTAATGGGGTTTCTTCTGTTTCTGGTATCTTATCAAAATTTTGCATCTTTGTTTTTTACAGGGTGGTATGGGAGAGAGCGTTGACGCAGTAGATGCTCTTCTGAAAAAGCATACTGATTTTGAAAAGACTCTTATGGCGCAGAGCGAAAAGATTGATTCATTGAAAAAGGATGCTAATAGTTTAGCTGAGAAAGACAGTGCTAACCGAGTTGATATTGAAAACCGGCATGTTCTAACTTTCGGACTTTCCCAAACTTAGAACTTTGATTTTCTTGTTGAGTGCTTTTGATTTTATCTGTTACTTATTTTTGATGTTTTTGAAACATTTAGTCGAAACGCTATTTTGAACCGACATGCTGCGCTTCTTGAGTCTTGCAAACGAAGGTCTGAGCTGCTTTTACAGTGCCGGAGTCTTCATGAGTTCATCGACAGTTGTGGGGAATTAATGACGTGGACCTCTGCCAGTCTTCAGCTTGCATACGATGAAAGCTATCTAGACCAGACTAATCTTAAGTGACTAGATTTTTGCTTTATTAGCTTTTTTTATTTGGCCAATTTTTATCCTACTCTTGTTTCCTTTTACACTCATCATACTATTTATTTTTGCTGCTTCATTTCGCCTTCTCCATTTGTTGCCATTTCCATCAGGTCGAAGCTACAGAAGCATCTTGCGTTTGAAGCAGAATTAGACGCAAATGAAGGCAGAGTAAATGACATCGTTTCTGATGGTCAGAAGTTGATATCAGCAAAACATTATGCGTCGGACAGGATCTCTCTTCAGATTGCGGAAGTTAAGGCTGGTTGGGAAGAGCTGAGAAGGTTTTTTGTTTTTATTTTGAGGACTTCTGTTTTTAGTGCCTTATTTCTTTCCTGTTTCAGTCGTTGATGGTTCCTAAAATTTAACTTCTTATTTATTACAGAAAGTCGGCTTTGAAACGCCAAAGGTTGTTGGAAGCGAATGAGGCGTATCAGCTGAGCAGACGTTTAGAAGACCTAGATAAATGGCTGGAGAGGGTTGAATTGGAACTTTCAAGTGAAGATCACGGAAAGGACTACAAGTCAGTGAAAGCTTTAATTAAAAAGCAAGACAACCTTGACGCTGAAATTGCGTCACGTCGTGATAATGTAAAGGAGATTGTTGACAAGGCTCAGTTTTTCGAAAAGAAGGTATGTTTTCAGTCTTGCTATTGGTATTCTTTGTCCTCGTTTTTTGAAATTACTGTATGCCTATCATTTCGTTTCAGGGATATACGACAGCGGTGGAATCCTTGGAGATGGCAAAAGCAGTAGAGGCACGTTACAACGGTCTGAAAGAACCATGCCAAATAAGACGAGATAACTTGAAAGAAGCACTGGCGTACCATGAGTGGGCATCCGAAGTTGAGGAACATCTTGAATGGATTAATGATAAATTATGCCAGGCAAGGAGTACTGACTACGGCGATAGCGTACATTCTGTCCAGTCTTTGACAAAGAAACATGCCTTACTAGAAGAAGAACTTAAAAGCCGACAGGTTTGTTTTTTCGTATTTGACTAAATTTTCTCGGTAATTGTCATTGGTTTTCATTCATTTCAGCAGTCTGTTGTCAAGGTTGAGGGCAAAGGTAGGGAAATGTGCAAAAATCATTTCGCTGCAGAGGGAATCCAAAAACTGCTCGACGAACTCACTTCTTCAATGCTTACTTTGTGGCAGCTTACACGTGAAAGATCTCAAAAATTGGCAGACTCTTTGGACAGTCAGCAGGTGGATTTTTGCTCGCTAATAACTTCATTCAATTTTTCCTCTCAAGAGGTAGTTTCTCCTCAGTTGTCAAGTAGTGGTCTACTAGCTCCAGTTGCATCAAAATTTATTAGCCACAGGAAGACTTGGAGAAATTCTGTATACTATTCTTTTATTGCTCTTTGGGTTTTAGTACTATGCTGAAGCAAGTGAGGCAGAGCAGTGGATGAGAGAACGATTACCGCAAGTCTCAAATCAAGATACAGGAAAAGATCAGTCAGTTGCTGAGAGTCACCTGAGAAAACTGGCTGTACTGGAAAGTGATATTGAGAAATTTGGAAACGAAATGGAACGGTTGAGGAAGAGTACTGAGGCTATGTTAGCAAGAGAACACTTTGATGCGATAAATGTTAGTATGTTTGGAGTTGATTCTGAAGTCTTTCAGTTTGGGGGGTGGGAGGAAGGGGTTTAAATTAGAGTGCTAATTCATCAGCCATTTAAAACCATTAGAATGATCATTTTGAACCACTATTCAATGGTTATTTTTTTACGAGGTACCAGTAGTGCTCAAGGCGGAAGAGCAGAAAAATGAGCGCTACAAAAGTGTTATTGCTCGTTTATTTTTGTGAAGATTACTTTTAATTCACTGCTCTTGAATAGCTGTTGATAATGACAATTTTAGCTTACTGCTAAGAAGGTGAAATTAGAAGAGCTTTACAAAGAACTGAAGACAAACTGTGCGCGAAGAAAAATTCAGTTGACGGATGCTATCAAATATCATGCCTTTGTACAACAAATTGAAAATCTGGACAAATGGTTGCAAGAGAAATTGGAAATAACGAAGCTAGATAATTATGGTAAATCTTATTCGTTGATTCTAAATTTCTTAATTCCGTTTTTTTACTTGGTTTTACGTAGGTCGAGATCTTGAGGAATGTCAAAAACTGATGGCCGAATTTGAGCAAGTTGTAAGAGAACTGACTTCAGCAGGCGAACGAGTCGCTACAGTTCAAAGAACTCAGGCAATCAATACGCATTTTATTCTCTCCTAATTATTCTCTTTGCTTTTTTAAAATAACTTTTATTTTTAGGAAGAACTTCTTCGAAATGGGCATCCGTTTAGCGCTTCGATTAAAGCGAAGGGTAGCGATCTTCAGCAGTTGTGGTCTGTGGTAAACGAAGCTGCGACAGAACGGCAGCAGGCTTTTGAAGGAGCTCTTCAGGTTTTCTAATTTAGCAAGAACGATTTTTAAGTTTTATAAAACATGGTTTTTAGTGAGTTGTAACCGACAAGGTTTGTGATTCACAGTTGTTTATTCCACTGCTGTTATATTAAGAATTTACCAAATAATTGGATCAGCAGTGCTTGTTAGATTTTAACGGCCTCTTCTTCAAGGTACACAAATTTGACGAAGATGCTGATGAAACTCTTGGGTGGCTGGAACAGAAAGAGGCCCTCCAGGTAGCTATGGAGAGTGAAGATATATCACGAGCAGATTTGCCAGTTTTAAAACAACTGCTGACGAAGTATCATGAATTTATGCACGGAGTTAGCGCAGTTGAGAAGCAGGCAATGATTTGATCGTTACAGTGTTTGAAGAGTGTTGGCTAACGTACTATGAGCATCTTCTGATTTCGTAATTCATACTCATAATTTTTAGATTAGAATTTGCCTTGTTGCTCACTAAAGTGTTACAGGTGAATGATCTTTGTGAAGAAGCGAAACGTTTGGTCTCGTTATATCCAGATACGAAGGAGCATGTTGAGGTTCGTCGGCTGCAAATGCAGGAACAACTGAAAGATGTTGTACAATCAGCAAATAACTATTTTGAAAAGTTGCAACAAATGCAGAACCTACAGTCATATTTTCAAGAATACAGAGATTTTATCGCCTGGATCAGCAGGCTGAAAAATACAATCGAAAGGTATGTGGGGTTTTTTTGTCTAATGGTCAGATGAGGGTTTAGTGGCTTCATCCAAATTTGGCTGTTGTTGCTTATCATTTGGTAAAAACTTGATTTTAGTGAGACATTGCCTCGTGATGTTCCGGGTTGTGAAGCTTTAATGTTACGGCATACTGAGTATTATCAGGAGATTCAAGGTCACCAGTCCGCAGTTGATGAGTTCTTACGGCAAGGCAAAGCAATGATTGCTTCACAACATGTTTTGTCAGCTGAGATCTCCGACAAGGTATGTTTCTTTTGATAAACGTAATGCAGTTTCTTATGCTTGGTGTGTGAGTAAGCTTTCCACTTCCGTACATCATTGCAGGTGACTAGGTTATCGAAGGAGTTTGAAAGACTGAAGGAAACATGGAAGGAAAGACAAACGCTGTACGAAATCAATGCCGATGTTCAGCAATGGATGAGCGATGCAAATATGTTAGACGCTTGGTTAAATGCGAAAGAAGCATTTTTAAACGAAGAGTGGCTCAAAGTCGAAAGTGTGGATGATGCTGACAATAGAATTAGGTTTCTTTTGAGAAGCCGATTAATAAAGCTGAATTTGATTAAACTGAGTTTCCTTTGGATGAAGAGTGTAGACAGAGCATTTTTTACAGGAATTTCGACGACTTTTTGGTCACTTTGGAGGCTCACAAAGACAAGTTTGAAGTCCTTAACAAACTGACTTTACTTGAACAAGCTTACTCCGATCAGAAGAAGTTGTCAAGGTAGTTGCAACATCACGAAAAAAATCTCTCTGCTCTTCCATGTTTTTGGAAACTGCTTTTTACATTCGACAGTGCCGCTTTTCTGATTGATCCAACAGTACTCTCATTGGAACTTTCAGGGTTCTTAACGAAGAAGAAAGGCCGGAGCCACAGAAGGAAACTATTAAGACGTTTGAAAAGCAGAATAAATTACAAGATAGAAGGAAGGAGAGAGAAAGAAGAATGACTCAAGAAATTTCATTGCTTAAGCCTAGTCCTTCATTTACCGATGATGCCAGTCCTTCCATTGTGCTACATCCGCGTCGTGGCACAGAGCCAGTCTCCCGTGTAAGTAGATTATAAAAGACGGCGTTTTTCATCTTGTGCTGTCGTTTTCGCTTATCATCTTGCTTTAAGGAGGCACTTGCTGGTGCGTCAGCGTCATCCATCGATGCATCGGGTGATAATAAGAAAGGCAGAGGTGGTTCATCGCCATTTTTGGAGAACGATGATGTCGTTCCCGCCCCAATGCAGCGAATGGGTTCGACAAGAAGAACCCCTACGTTTAGCACAAGGAAAAATATATTCAAGAAAGTGAAAGGGCGAGATGATTATGGGAATATTGATATGCATGGAGACCTGGAGAGGAAGCAACGTTTGCAGGTTATTTTAAGATATAACTTTAAGTGGTGTAGGTTGTACTAGACCCATTGTAATTGGGCCTGAGCTGCGTATTAGAGAGTTTAGTTCTTGCTACAAGAACGATTATCTTTTGATTCTGGACACTTTTTGGAGTCTCACCGTGAGCGAAACGTTTCCTAAGACAAGCGTTTTTTGGTTTCAGAGCGGAGGAAAAAGGGCAACGATTAGGACGTGGAAGCGGTACTACACAATTTTATGCGGACAGTTGTTATGCTTTTTCAAGGATGAGGAGTCGTTTCGGGATAATTCAGCCGCTGCGGCCCCTGTAAATATACTGAATGCCGTTTGCAATGAGTGTCCGGAGTATGCGAAAAAAAGGAATACTTTTAGGTGAGTAGTCTTGTAGGTTTATAAAACTTAAAAACTCAATCGATGTTATTGCTTAAAGGCTCAAGATCCAAGATGGCTCCGAATACTTATTTGCTTGCGCGGATGAAAAGTTAATGCAAGAGTGGATAGCAAGAATCCAATTTCACGCTTCTTTGACACCATCGCAACAGCTACGTAGTTTTGACAAGGTTGTTTGTGCAGCCATAATAAATTATTCTACAAAATTTTAATTAGCGCTAAAAATTTTGGGTTTCAAAAACTACATGGACTAACTGGTTCTGATATCTTGGGAAGTGAAGTGAAAGCCTTAGTAATATACAAAGTACTTATAAGGCAAGCAAAAATATGCGCTCAATTATCTCTGCTCAGGATTTGCCAGATCATGCCCCGCCACCAAAACCGGAAGATATGCGACGGCACACTACTGAAGTAAGCTCGCTTCTGCGAGACAGTAGAGGACTCAGACAAGATTTTCACTCTGAGGAAAAACAGCCATCTACATCAGGCAAGCTTTTTCAATTTTCAATTTAGGTTTTTACTTGGAAGCCAGATCAAGACGCCGCATTCGCATTCTCAACTTTCTTTCTTAATCCCCTTCGCTCTCAACTATGATTGGGCTAATGTTATGACAGTTTCGCTTATTTGGTTCATATTTGCTGTGTTTCAGTTACTGCTTCTCTTCCCTCGGACTCTAACTCTTTGTCTCGCCCCTCCGTAGCCTCTCAACCTTTCCTCAGCTCTGCTTCCCCACCTCGCTCTAACCGGGGATATTTCCCAGCTCAGTACCCGCACCCTGCAAGCTTATCTGCTCTCAGTCCTAGTATTTCTGCGGGTTTTACCCTTCCTGTAGAAATCAATTACGAATTAAATAAAAGTGGTTCATGTGGAATGAAGAGTTCAGAACAGGAATGCAGTTCTGTCTTTTCTGAAGAACTTCTTCAGAGAAATACTGGTGAGAATGTGTTCAGTCAAGAACAATCATGTCAGTTACCAATTTGGTTGGCTGTCTAAAAAACTTTTTTGAGAACATTTAACAGGTTTCAAGCTTCTTTAATGTTTTAACAAAAGTCCTGCTTCTGTAATATTCCATGTAGTCTTTTATAAACCATGTTGTTCGTTGCCTGTCGTTACTAATTCATTCCATGTTGGGGCTCAGATAGCATGTAAAAATAATTCTGTGAATGAATGCTTTTCTCTGCACAATTGAAATTAGGATGGAGCAAGTGCTTAGGCTTAACCGGCGAAATATTTGCTAACCATTGTGTTGCACTGTAACACTTTCCCCATCCTCATTTCCTGGGCAATGTTCTCCGATTTCTTGTCCTTGTCAGTCCAAAATAGTAAATACAGTGCCGACATAACATACTATTCTTAAGTAAATTTTAAGAAAACTAAGGGTGGTTTTTTTAGATACTCCCACTACGTCTGTTAAGCCAAGCGTATCAAGCTTGACCAGTTCGAACATTTATGGGAGCGGCGTTGACCCAGTAAGTTTATCTCTCAACTTGTGATACATAATTAGGACCTAAGCCACTGCATGCGCTCTTCACTACAGTTTTTACCGAACTAAAACTTCAGGAGACCAGCAAACTCCAGTACGGTGAAGCAGAACTCAACGGACCTCTACAGAAGAATTCTTTTATATTGGAGAGTACAACACCGCGAAGAACCCATCAACAAAGCGAAGACAGCAATTTTATAGCCTGGGTTGAGTCATCGCAGGCTCCAACAAGCACTTCCTCATCGATCACTACCCTTCAGCAGGAAGACGCTGATTCTGTCAAAAGTAGGCTCCTCCTACTGATTCTTGTCCTTTTAAAGCTTAAACTCAAGTTACAAGTCGAGCCACTTCGAAGTCAATGTCTTAAAATGCGCAAACGAATTCACTTGAAGTAAGATATTTCAGAAAAGAGGACATTCTCACTGTTCAAACGGGGTTCGAAGCACAAGGATGGTAAATAGAAAACTAGCAGCTTTGTTTCGCTCAATTCTCCTCATTTCCTTGTTCGACTTAATTGCTCACTTCTTTGATATTTGTCGGCTAGAAAATGTTCTAAATGAAAAAGTTATGGTGATTCCAATCCAGAAAATAAGACATTTTCCAGACTGATATTGATATCATTCTCCTCCAGCTTTAATAAGATGTCATGAAATAGTTTTAAAAATAGTGTCATTCTCAGCAAA